TAAAAGAGTGCCTGGAGCTCCAGCTGCTGGAAGTGGAAATGCTCCTTTCAATGTTTCCCAAAAAAGGGGAGATGCATCTGGATGAGGACGCTGTGCCTAGCGTGCAGCGCTACCTCAGAAACAGCGATGGAGCTCTGCCGCCACAGCTCGAATATTCAGTCACTATTGATGTAGGAGAGGCGAAGGTGAGAACTTCCATGTAGATGTGTCCATGTGCATTGTTGCTTTTACTCTGTGCACACAGTTAAAGTCCACCCTAAAAAAAAATGGAAAACCCCCACCTAATTTCTGTTCGTTGCTTCACAATTCGAGTAACAAAAAAAACCACCAGTCTTGTTTTTTATCATTTATTTGGGTCTTTGAGTCTTACCTTCCTTTGGGCAAGAAAGGTTGATAGATTCCCAGATAGGAATAGACGACCAACGCCAGTGGCATGCACAGCATTCACAAGAGTTTAGCCAGGGTTGTGCTTATATCCGGGTTGTTGGTTTACTGATTTACAAAGAGTTGTGTGTTACACACACAATGCTCCCCGTGTGGCAATACGTGTGTTGGACTTTACGTTATTGTAGGAAAATGGCCCTAGTGTTTCTCTCTTTGACCCCTTGCCACGTGTACTGACATTCATTGATCTGTATTTGAAACACGGTAGTGTAAAAATCGCCTCGAATGGCAGAGTGCTATTAAGAAGAATCGCGCACTAAAACAAAGCCAGCCGATGAACAGGGAAGCAAAGCTTACAGTACAAGGAGTTCCACGAGTTTATCCGCTTCAGGACAAGGTTACGTATGACAATGAAGTGATGCAAATACTTGCGTAGAGAACTGAGGTCTGAGTGTGTGAGAATGCAATAACTGGTAATTGAGAACAGACAAACGCAATCTAGAAGCCATTTTCCTTGGAGTAAGGATAACTGAACATCACAACAATTTACTGGGTAATGAGGTAACCTCACGATTATTTGGAAACTTAAGTACAAGCTTAGGTATCTTTAAAACACACCCTTTTACCAGCCTTCGGAGAGAGATTTTATGAACTGTGTAGGGAGGGCTTGTGCAGGAAGAAATTCTTTTCCATGGCAAATTGTCAAGGAACTTGGAGAGATAATTGATCATTTCACAATTCGCTTCTCTCTGCAGGATGAAGCATATGATGTATACTGTAGAGAAGGTCCCTTAATGGTAGCTACACGGGTGCCCCAAGCACTGAGGACATGTGAATCCCCTCCTCCTCTTGGCCCGGAGGCAGGGTTCAGTTGCCAAAGAGCTGAGGTGCTCCATTTTAAGGCACTTTAGGAATGATCAAGAGAAATTCAACAGCCCAGGGTTTGTAGGAGATAGGGTGAGATAATCCAGAGGTTTCCCTGGCCTCAAATGCACATAAATCTTTTTATCCCCTATAGTCCTGAGAATGCTTCCTCTCTTAGGTGAACACTTGCTTAAAATAATAGTAGTAATGCATGGAATCAGAATGGTTTGGGTTGGAAGGGACTTTAAAGCTCATCTAATTCCAAGCCCCCTGCCATGTGCCTCTAATCATAAACACTCTCTCACAGAACTCTTGGCCTTGTTTTCCTGGGGCAGATCCAGCAACTCAGATGAGTTCACTGAGCAGATGTGCGTTTGGTAAAGGACAAGGTTCTCAGAAGCCACTTGCCCCTTAACTGACAGACCTGTCGTTTATCGCTGCAGCACTGAGCATGTGCTGAGAACGTGCACTAGAAATATCCCTAGGGGGTGACTGTGTGTCCTCTTCCCAGCATTACTGCTGTAAACAGCAGAAGAGAGGAGCCTTGCTATCATTAGGTATGTTGGGAAAGTCACAGCACGGTGCAACAAAAGAAAAGCAGCAGACAAAAGAATGGGTTATGGGGACAAAAGGAAAGTGGAGGTAATTCCAGTCTTTAGGATACTGTAGTCTTAATTGCATGTCTTCATAACCTGCCTCTGACGGGGACAAGGAATCTAGCATGTCTTTCAGCAGCTGCAGAATTCATGTTCTTTTTGTGTGTGTGTTCTGGTTTTAAGGCAAAAGTGGAACTGCAGGTACTGCTGCCTCGTACGTACCCTCACGTAGCTCCTCAGCTTTTTGCAAGATCAGATGCGCTGCACAGACAGCAACAATTGGAGCTCAACACTTGTCTCGCTTCTCACATGAGCTCTCTGGATTCAGGTGAACTGTGCGTATGTGAAGCTGTGCAGTGGCTGAAAGACAACAGCCTGCCTTACCTGGAAAACAGCAGGATCTCTTCAGAAAGTGCCTCGGAAAAAGCGGCAGTTAAAGAAACGTTGCGTCGCATGTGGATCTACAGCCACCATATATATAGACAGGAACTGAGGAAGAAGATTTTTGACTGTGCAAAGAAGTTAAATCTGACTGGCTTCTGCCTGACAGGGAAACCCGGTGTCATATGTGTGGAGGGACTCCAAGAAAACTGTGAAGAGTTCTGGCATGTTATTAGGTATCCCAACTGGAAGCATATTTCATGCAAGCATGTGGAGAACATAGAAACGGAGGGAGGCATTGATGATCTTCGTCTCTTCCATGCTTTCGAAGACCTACAGTTTCAGGCACATGGTGATTATGGCCTGAGGAATGACTACCACATGGATCTTGGCCAGTTCCTAGAATTCCTGAAACAGCATCAAAGTGGACACATTTTTCAGATTTTATTTGATGTCGAAGGCAAACTTTCAGACAAGTAAGAGAAACTGTGGAAGGAGTTCTAATTTTGGACAGCAAGAGATGATGCTAACATTGAAATACTGTGCCTTACAGCTACTGTAAAAAGGGAAACTGTTCTGAGTTGCCCCACGTCTTTGAGAGGTGTTTACTTATTTTCTGTGACCCTGGAGTTGTCATTTTGTTGCTATGAGCCATACCTCAAAGCGCTTGCAAGGTGATAAACATCCCACACTGTATCCTAAATTACACGCTGCTCTCTCCTCATATGTGCTGTGTGTTACTAAGCTGCGGTGCAGACCTGTAGTTAACTTCTACGTACAGCTGCGGGATACCAAAGTGCCTGCAGTCACAGTTGAATGTGGTTGCCAATACAACCCAGCTTAAGGAAATCTCACTGCTGCCTTCATGGGTCAAGTGGCTTTTGCTGCTTCACAAAGCACCAGCTCTCACTTCATTCAGCTAATCCATGAAATGCAAAGGCTTGTGTCCGACCCCAGGACAAAGTTTTGCTTTTTAAATGACAGGTGGGGGGAAGGAGAAAGAAGCCAAGTTTCTCCATCCCTTCTATGCTTTGGGTAGTTCCTATACAATTATATTGCCAATACCAGCATCGTTGCAGTCCTCTTCCAATCATCTCATTATGGTCTGGTCATGTTAATAGTAGTTTTTCAGCTGCCCAACTCATGGCATTTTATATTTACATTATTAGGTCAAGCACCTTTGAAATGCAAATGTGTAAAATGCGACAAAGTTTAGTGTTTCCTCTGTTTTTCCCCTATGTTACATAAGGAAATACATGTAAAATAAAGAAAAATTAAAACCCGATATATATTTTATATATTAAATAAAAGTACGTGTAACTTTACCTGTCTTTTCTCTGTCGAATTAGCACCGGGAGACAATTTTCCAGCAGCTTGTAACAGGAGATGATACTAACAGCTCATTAGGCAACGCTTTCCTGTGGGGCAGCGTGCTGAGTGTGTGTATTTAGTGAATTGCAATTCAGTCTTCCAGTTCATAATAGATTATCAATCATGTTTAAAGATCATCCATCTAGTATGCGGAAGAACGTAACTGAGAAGTCCCCAGGAGCTGGGCCTTACAGGATCATTAGCTTACCACCTTCCACTTTGTCTTTGAGCACCATACCATGAACATTGGTGCCAAGCAATAAAAGTGGACTTACTGTTGAGCTGTAGAACTTTGGCCAAAAATTGGGCTCTTCTGACAGCAGCTATCTAAAGACTGTTTCAGTACACTCAGATGATGACTACAAAAATACCAGATAGATACTACTTTATGTCAAATAAAATACAAGGAAGTGTTTTAATACTTCTCTCTTAATAGCAATAGACGAAAACACAGAGGAAGGCAGTATTTCTGGTTGCTCAGAATGAAGATTAACCTGTGTTCCTTCACTGAGGTAATCATCTTGTTTGTATGATCATAACTTTGGCCAAAAGCACAGTGAGGCAAAAAATACCATCAGGCATTTTGCAGTGCGGGAGAAGGTGCCTCTCCTCTTTGGAACTGAGGACCTGCAGGCTGCAGCTGTGGCAGAGCTGAGGGGCTGGACAGATGAAGTTAGTTTTATAGAAGTAATTTCTATAGCATGACAGTAGGAAAAAAGTTCAAGTACACTGTGTTCCCAAAGGGCACACTCCATTTGTCTTGGAGTGGTAATTCTGTAACAAGGAATGATTCCTCAGAGTTTTGGGGGTTTTTTTAGAACATTGATGCATGAGCGAGTGCAGACTCCACATGATCACGACTCAAAAGCAATAAACCAATTTGCATCCAGTCCTGTTGGGAAGTTGCCAAAGGATCAACATTTTCCTTTAAAACAGCACAACAAGCTGGTTTAGAAATATCTGTGCGATTTCAGCCAGAAGGAAATGGGAAGGGCAACACTGTCAGAGGTCAGAAAGCCTGTGCGGGAGGGTGGTCAGGCAGCTTGGAGTTCTGTGGTAAAACTCTCAACTCGAGATACAACCACTTATTTTGATAACAAAAAAACCTCTCAAAATACAGTGTCTCAACGAAAATAACAATCACAATAACCAAACAACACAAATATATTTCTCAGATTAACTTTTTATTTTCTGATGTGTAGTTAACAGGATTTCTTGATCTGAGTTTCTAGCTGAATATTACAATTTAGAAAAAGTTTTCTGCATCTTAAAAAATTAGCTATTCTTAGGCTTTCCAGGCAGGGATGTTCTGGATGTTGTAGTGCTTCCTAGCTGCTGCTAGTTTGTTCATTCTTCATTCAATATTTACAGTTTCACTTTCATGGCTTCTGCAGGCCAGGTGTAGGAGTCGGCCAAAAAGCTGTTGTAATCGGTACTGTAAACCTGAGAGCGGATGAAGGCTTCTAGGTCCTTGGGCTGAGGATAGGTGGAGGCAGTGTTATTCTTGTAGGCTTCTTCTGCGATCTAGAAAGATGCATTAAAATCATAATTAGTGCTGATTTATAAACTATTTGAGTACCTTCAATAGGATTTAAAAGTTGGAATTGGTTCAAAATCAAGCTAAGACTTCATCTTCTCCGGTGCTGACAGTCACACTGAATCCAGGCTAGTGTACAGTGAGGAAGACTGGGAACAGGATGATGTTTGCATTTAAGTGAGCCTGACCCATCCTGCTTTTGAGCAGGATTATGTGTCTTTGCTGTGGCAAATACAGCACTCATCCTCATCCGGTAATATCTTGGCTTTTGTTGTGCAGTGGTGGATAAAACACTCCACGAACGCCAACCACTGCCATGATACAGTTTCTGCTTTGCCATTATCAGGTTACCTGGTTTACCATTGTCTCCAAAGCACTGTAAGAAAAGTTTGTTCCAAGCCTTCACGCTCCCTGCGTATCAGAGAAGTTTATTATTGGCCATAGTTTGATTATGTATTTCTTAAAGGTAAACTCAGGAGAAAAAAATAGTCCTATACAATGCATGGGTTTAATTCTAGAGATGGTTGGGGGGAATACGAATATTTGCTCGCTCTTTCCTCCCCCAGACCCTACCTGAGTGAATCAATTATGCATCACAAGTACAGCTGCAGCAAAAATGAAGTTTAGAAGGAGTTGGAGCCCACTCAACACACCAAGGCAGCCTCTCACGTCTGTAGAACACTTACTAGAGAAATATTTGTCTTCAGACTGGACATTCAGCTATGAAACCAAAGAAGTTTGTCAGACTGGTTGTATGCAGCAGCACTCTTTGGACAGATTGGCTTCAAACTGCATTTGGCAATCAGACAAATGCTCCTACTTTGAATAAAAGGAAAATGGTCTCCTTCCTGCTTGCTCTCTTTAAAACAAATGCTTTGGCTTGGTGAGAAGCTGAGACCCCAAGTTACCGTATTTAGACTTCCCTGCTAGGATTAATCTGAAGTCCAACCTGATTTGACTGAGAAGCACTTTGGATGTTGGTGTAAGAGTTCATCTTCAGGTCTGTGCACATAATTATTGTCATTGAATACGGTCTGAATTTACACCCACGTTTGGTATTCCAAAAATTGTTGAGAGTATTCCACCCCTGGAAGAGGCAGAGGCTATTGCTGGCCTCTTGGGCAAAACCTCTTGGGCTGTATGAGCCAGAGTAGCTATTTGCAAGAATAAAGTTTCAACAGAGATCAGGGAGGCAGAATTGTTTGGTAACATTTTCCTTTCTTCTAGTTGATGTAACATGCACAAGCAGAGGAGGAATTTCTATCACTGTGTTTCTGCCAAACACACAGGCAGTCTGATTTTGCCTGAGGAATCTAGGTAACATTTTGACATCTACAGAACAGTTATTATTTGCCTAAGATGATGTGAACTGTGAGAGGGATTCTTGTTAAATGTACAGCACGAGTGAACTGCAGGGGAACAGTTTCACACATGAGGGCTCCTTGTTGTTCTTTCAAAAGAATATGCAGTAAGTGGAATTATTCACAGCAAGGTGACCAAGAGAGAAAACAGTAATTGAGAAAAAAAGGTCACGGAAGACCAGCAAAATAACCTCCTAAAACGCTGAAAAAACCCTACCCGAAGAACAGAACAAGGGAGGAACTGGGATAAACACATTATTTGAAAGTTTCCTCTTCTCTCTGTGGGTTTAAGTCAGTTACTGAAAATCCATCTGCATCAGCTCAGTATTTACCAGGAAAAAACAACCAACCGAACAACCCCTGGCCCAAACCAGAGCCATAAACAAAAAGCATCCCCTGTAGTTAGTTATTTTGACAGGCCAGAGTAAGAATGGGATAAAAAGGGAATAGTGCCTGGACACAGGGCGACATGTACTCTTTTGACAGGCAACTGATAACCAGGAACAGCCAAGACCTTCAGCTGTGCGCCTCACACGACTGTAAGCCTGGGACCCGCTCATAACTGGTGCACAGCTCAGTTCGGGCTCCCCAGACATAAACCCTTACTATAGTTCCACATCCTTCCTTCTTGTACTTGGATTACATTTACGTTTATGAATTTAAACTCAATTTTGAAACTGCTACTTGTTCCAAGACTGATCGACGTGAACCAACTTCAACTTGCGTGGAGGAGCGTTAGCTGATCACATCAAATGCTCAGTTATGTAGAGAGCGTGGGGAGGACAGAAGCCACGAAAGACTGAAATAAATGACTTACCCTTACAGCAATTTTCAGTGATACTTCCTGAATAGTGACTAACGGAGGGTACAGACGACCTTCCCGTAAATTCTCATCCGAAACTTGCTGAGCTATTACCTAGAAATAAAGCAGACATGTTTAACTTGAAATGCAGATGCAGCTGTGGCTTTATGAGACAGCGATCTAGTCTTAGGCAAAGAAATGGTTTCGCTTTCTCAAATCACACAGATACTGCTTAATCCACCTAGGCAGTATTTTTCACAACCAGCCTTATCGCTAGGGGTAGTTACGCATGAGAGAGAAATTTAGGGAGTCATTGCCCTTTTCTGCCTCAGACAATAAGACTTCAGTAAGTCCATGCCACACACCAACTAGCAAAGAGTTCACTGTGAGAGGAACCAAAATTCCAGCCATCACTTGTAGTCATGCCAAAGACTTCTGGCATTAAAGAAGCACCTGTTGTTCTGACAGTTGTCAAGTCATCCTGTGCAGCAAACAGAGCTGAAACCCCTAACTGTAAAATGCTTTGAATTAAATTACTGCTGGCTCAGCAGGTTTGTTGCATATCCAGCTCACACATCTTGCCTGTATGAGGTCATAACGGTAAGTATGGTCAATTGCAGAACAAAGTTAAGATAAAAGTAAGATTATCCAGGATCTTTCAAGGCCCTGCTGGTCACTGCAGTCAGGTTTAGAAACAGAAGGTCTAATGCTGAATTCTGGCTTGCTGGGACGTTAAAAACAGTGCTGCTAGAAAAGGTCTGTCCGCTCCACTTGAAGGCTGCAGTGGGTCTGTCATCTCAGCCACAGCAAGTAACTAAAGAAATTAGTTACTCTTTGCTTGATTTTTCACCAGACTGACCAGGGGAAACAACATCAGAAGTTCTAATGTACATCCGAGAGGAGCGTCTCCGCTATGGGCTGAATATTCTTGCTTGGTCCTCCCAGCTGGAAATGTTTTGTTGTCATTTCCAGCAGCGAGCAGGTCGGGAAAGCACAGAGAGATGGAGATGTTGTTTTTTACTGTTTACTCACTGGCCATATGAAAAACTTTCTACTACCATGAGTGTGAGGACATTCTTTGCGGAGTGAGGAGAGACAGTGCTTGCACTTACAGGCTTATTTCATGAAATGAATATATACTAAATAAATAAGAAGAAGCACAACAACTTCCTCTATTCCCTTAAAAGGGATCCAACAGATCCCTTTTAAGAAGTAAAGGGTCCTGGGGCTGCCTTTGGGTCTATTGACAGTTCTGCTATCATTAGCTAAAATCTGTTTGTCATTTGGATACCTGAAATAGCAAAGAGCCTTTCAGGGGATCCAGATGGAGATTTGGTGAGCCTGAGAATCAGCTGATGCCAGTTAGCTAACCTGCCTTCTGCCTTGTAATCTCACTGGTAGACTTGAGGGTTCGATTTCTTAAGTGACCGCATTTTTATCTTCTAGGGAGCAGCTAGTTAAAACCAAATCTAAGTATCTTCTGAGCAAACCAAGCACAAAATTCATATATTAAAAATGGTCTGACTAGATGTTGTTTTTAATAGCTACCTTCACTAACATCCTCTACTACAATTCTCAAGACAAATTATTAAAAAGCATGAGGAGAGATTTGTATCAGCAGAATCAACAGAGAAATTTCTCCATCTTGCTTTGGGACAGAAGGGAAATGACTCTGGTGAGGGGATGTCACTTGCCCTTGGAACAGCTGGGAACATGTAGCAGTCACAAGGAAAGGAGGTTCTTTTTACGGTGCAAGCTTGTGCTTCTTAAAACTGTTACAGTTTATAAGCAGTTTCCATTGATATTTAGTACATTAGGCTTGCTCCTGCAGTGTATCCTTCAATTTAGTTTCATCCAAAAGGAAACCAGTCCCCCTCTCCTCCCAAGACCATGCCACACTGTGCACCCAGGTAGAGTCTATAGGGACACCAGGGAGCTGTGCTCCAGAAGACCATTCTGATGCAAAATGGAAGAGTGATACAGAGACACCCTTTGTGTTCCCATCTGTAGAAATCATATACTTTTGTGGAAATAAAACTTAGATAATAAAAGGTTAGAACCAAATCACTGACTGATCCAGGAGTGTAAGGATACTGCTGTGTGGTGTGACCTGTAAAGGGTACTCTGCAGATGGAAGGAAAACTGATCTGGATAGCATCTGGTAGAGCCATGTATGACCCATCAAGAGGTTCTGAAAACACCAGGGAAGTCCAGGAAACACTGTGAAATGAAACTGCTAACATGGCCCAAAGAGAAAGCAAGAAGTGCACTTTGGAGGGGACATACTAGGAAAATACTAGTAACAGCACAAACTGCTTTCTAGAGTTCTTGCTGTATGTGGGAAATGGGACCTTACATACATTGCTTGCAAGCAGCTAGGACTGTGTCCGAAAAGATGCCTGGCAATCATCAATCCAACCTTTCTGACAGAAGTAAGTAGGTACATAGTTTGAATTAAATAGCAAACACTAACGTAAATCCAGGTTCAAAGAGAAACAACAAAGTTCTCTTCTGCAACCTAAACAGCATGCTGGTAGGCGTAGTAGGTTTTTCCATTCCGAGTGGAAATGGTAACAAGAGCAACAAGAGTTTATACTCTTTGAGTATAACAAGTAAAGGAAAATTGTTTACATTTTAATCCGACATTGAGAAATGCAGCAGAGATTAAAAAGTCCACTAGGGGGAGCTAAGGCAACGTAAAATGTGGGGTTTGCTTCCCATTATAGCAACTAGGTTAGTTAAAATTGATACGCAGCCCTCTGAGACAAAACAAGATGTGAGCCTGAATGTGTAACAAGGAGCTTACAACATGAGGTTTCTGCTGTTCACAGTTCAGTGTTTTTTGGAAACATGAAATCTGAAGAAATCAACAGCAAGTTGCTGTTAGTGCGCTGCCACGGAAAAAAGGTCAGGAGTGCTTCTGCTTTGTGATGGGGTTGAGGGGAAACAAGCCACAGAACATTTGAGCAGTGCTGGAAGCGGGAGAGGTAGCAAGCTTAACTATGTAGATGCCGTGCTATTCCTTCTGACATGCTCCCGTAACAGCGTTAAAAACTAAGCAAAACCGCAGCAACAAGCATTTTCAAAGAGAACGACACCTTCTGCATGTGGTCCCTGAAAAACGCTCCTTGAGAACATCAGTTCAGTGGCAGGGGGCAAAATGATGAATCAACATTTGGAATTATTAAGAAAATAAGAGTAACACAGAAAATGTAATTATACCAGTGTATAAATTCACAATGTACCACTGCTTGGACAGCGTGCATTTTTGCTCCTCCTGCTTCAAACAAGAATGGGATAGAATCAATAGGGATATAAAGAATAACAAGGATGATCAAACGGCTATTTTTTTACACAGAGACAAACAAAGTGATAAGCTAGACTTGGGAGAAAAAAAAGAAGACTGAAAGAAAATACATTAGGCAATCCAAGATGACCATTTCTCATAGCGCTATAGGGAACTCAACTCATCAGAGAGCAGGAAATTACAAGAGGAGAGTTTCTTTTCCCACGGAAGTCATAATTAAATTGTGACACTAATTGCCAAACAATGTTCAAATGTATAAAAATGTTTAAAAAGCCACTGGGCTCGTTTATGAAAGATAATCCATAGAGGGATAAAATTTCCAGCGCAGGAAGGCCATATAGAGCAGGCCGCGAGAAGCTAAGAAGCCATTTCAGCAAAAGGATCACTCTGCATTTCCCCCTCTGTATTTTCCTCAGCTTCTGCTACTGCTTCTTTGCACAGGAAGACACTGAGCTAGCTGGATCTTAGGTGCAACCCAGAATGGCTATTTTCATGTTTTAAATTTTAGTTATTTCAAGTTTTTAATACAGAAATTAGCTAAGCCTTATTGCAGAACCTAAATGAAAGGCAGCCGAGACAGGACAAACGGCATAAACCAAGTGGGGGGATTTTGGCTTTTGGAGGACAAATTCTCTATAATGAAAGGATTTAATAGGATTATTTCTGGAGTAACTTAACTGTAGGTCATACATGCCAAGAATATTTCACTAGTTCATAATTCTCTGTCCCTTTGTTGTGTTTGGTAGGACTTAGAAGAATAGGTGATGTCCCTTGTCATCACAGAGCAATTGCCTGCAACTAAGAGTTATTACAGCTCTCACTACCTCAGATTTATTGTCTAAAATCAAAGTTACATCCCATTTTACTTGGCAGAAAGAATAGAACACTGCAAGTAGAATTTGTTGTAGTTACAATAAGCTGTTTGTGACTTTTATTGGATTTAATTGCAGAGGTGGCAAAGCAAGAAGACAGGAGGTGCAGGCACGCAGCCTGGGCTGCTTGTCTTTTATAAGTAATTTGTTTTCTCAGGTAAGCTACTGCTACAATCAGAGGTCTCTCTATCCAAAATGAACGGGTTTGGTGCTTTCAGTTTTGCACCAGCTTGGGTGCTTCCATTTCAAATGGAGAATACTAACCACTATTCTAAAACCCACATGAAACTTTTGATTTTACCCTTCCATTAAAAAAGCCAAGAGAACAAAACAAAAAGCACTTCTGCTTGTGCTCTGTACTCTAATTACAGCTGAGGGCCTACACAGCCCAGCTCCAAGCTCTCACACCCCGGACACACCTTCTGGCAAAGACTCCTCCGAAATCCACCAGTGGTTGCCTTGCTCAGTAACCACCTGTACCTCACCCAAGCCTCACTCACACACCGCCTCGCACACAAGTAAGGAGACCAGATGTGAATGTTCTTAGCTCCAGCTGTGAGGCCAGTAGCTATCCATTGATCTTACCACCAACAGAGAACTTCTGTGCAAGAGAACCCCCCCCCAACATCTCTACATGTCAAACTTTTTTAGGGATTTTACTAGAGCAAGTCAATTGCGTAGCAAAACCTTTACCAAAAAAGTCAGGCGAGAACCTCTACCTCAAGAGAATTTTAAAGCTTCCTTGCAATTTCTGATACTATTTTACTTCCCTGGTACATTTCTCTCTTCAGTTGAATTTCTTTGTTCTGAACAGATTTTTCTTCTGACTGAGTAGACTGCCACTTGAAACACAGTTCAATCCACACATATGCCAGCCACCTTTCATCCATCAGCACTCTATATATAGGAACCATTTCACTCAAACCAAAATGAAGCAACTTCTAGAATGAAATTAGACAACTGTTTTAACACAGCACTTTAGACCAGCAGGCGAGGATCACTGTATCCAACTGAAATTACAGGGGAGGATTTAAAGGGAGGATGTAATTATCCAAAAACTTACGAGATGGATCACTGCCGTCCTAGGATGGTTAAAGCCAGTGGAGACAGTCTGGGCTTTTTACTAATTTTAAAGATGGAAATTGTGAATCTCTTTCTTATAAAGGGCAAGCTGCTGGCAAACTGCTTTAAAGATGCCACAGTATGTACCTTAAAAAAAGCCTTCAAAAATCCATCAATCCATCATGCACTTCTAATCTCTGAGCCTGAGCTCTCTCTGAGAAGGGTGATCTTGGGGACACAGTCCTGGGAGCTGAGTAGCCAGGAACCTGAGCAAGGATAACCCCCATCACTCCGGACAGAAGGAAGCTGAGTCTTGTGAGGCTCATTATATTGATCTTGGTGCCAGCCAAAATCAGAACCAACACAGGCAATGAAAGAGACAGGAAGAGAAGGAAAAGGGAAGGCTCAGATGCAGGAGTGGTAGGGATGCAGTGAGGCTATAGCAGATGAGGAAAAAGATGCTGGACCCAGAAAAGAACAGAAAGTTACAATTTTGTTAGGTGAGAAACAGGAAGACTAACTTATTGTTTTGAGGGATCTTTTGGGAAAAACCAAAACCCCAATGTGTTAAACATTTGATTTCAACCACTGCTCATAATCTAGTTTGAATAAGGGATTCTAAAATAATAAAGGCCAGACTCTTCTCCCATATGTGAAGATATAATCCTATGCATTTACGATGTCATAATCTATGATAGTGGATGTTAGATTTTGAACTTTCATTGGAAGTAGGTGGTTAATGACTCCCAGAACTAACATTGTTTGCTCTCTGTTCATCTCTTGCCCACTGAGTGGAGATAAAGGAGGAGAGATCACATGCTGAGTAACAGCAGAACATCATAAAAAATTGCCTGAAGAAAATGACTAATGCAGAAAAGGATAGAAAAGAAAATGGCAAGAATAATGTGGCAACTGTGTAAAAATGTGGTGAAAGAACCACAAGGCAATAGACCACTTCCACCAGCTTTGACAAGGGAGGTCCACAAAAAATGATTCCAACAGCTCTACTCAAAACTAGCAAAAAGCTAAAAGAAATTAAATCTATTTTTGCAAGCAAAACACACACACAAGTCACCCCAAAGCTGCCAGCATCAAAACGTAATTCCTTTCAATCTAAAAATCAAACCTATGTGCATGTGTATGCAAACATATGTGCATTACCTGTGATAATACAGCACTGAAGTCCTTTTTTCCTTGCCAACCAACAGGAGGTGTGGTTTATGTCAGACTTCTGGACCAAGTATTAACTTTTTTTAAAGTAACTTCTTCAAATAGAGTTTATAAAAACCAATATACCTTGTAAATAAAGACCTTACACAGGAAGCACTATTTCATCAATTTTAAAGATAATGTTCAGCCTTTTCTGTTTAATTGCTCATTATTACCAAGTTACTAAATTAAGGAATTTAACTGATTTTTAACAGTACCTCAGCAGTTGTGAGGAACACATCCTCATCAATATGTTTCAGTCCACATGAAATAACACCAAGGGCAACTCCTGGGAACACATAGGAATTGTTACCCTGTCCAGGATAGAGAGTTTGTCCATTTGGAAGAGTGACAGGATTAAAAGGACTTCCACTGGCAAAAATACCTCGGCCCTAAATTGTAACAAGAAAGCCAAAGAAAGTACATTAGTTGAGAGGACACTGTTGAAATATTTCACACATCCTTTTAAATATTTATCACCTTGGAAGCTGGGTTGCATCTATTTAGTATCTCTGCCAAGAGGGCGTTAGAGCTATTTGACCGAGTATGTTTCAAGAACATCAGGATGCTGATCCTAGAGATCAGTGGCAATTCTCTGTGACTATGTGATGTCAGAGAGTCATGGCTGCCTTATTCAGGTAAGAGCTACCTGTACAGTTTAGAAGAGGAGAAACTGAAAGCCCGCCCTCATTATGCTCTCTGTGCATCTATGTCAGAAGAAGGTACGTGGGAAGAAGGTGTGAACATGGGGCTGTAAAACTCGAAGTGGACAATACTGTCATGGTAACAACGGGTGTGGGGTGGCCCAGAAGCAGCAACAGTGGCTTAACATTAGCTAGGAGGAATATTAGGTCTGGTGTCCTTCAGTAGTATGAATGATCAGAGTTGTGATACCATCAGAGTACTAAGAGATGGGCTCTCAGGGAGACGGAGTCTCACTGCCCCCTGGAATAAGGAGCACCCTGATGGGAGCAGATGCTGGAATCATCAAGTGCTGTTCAAGGACAGCAGAAGAGGCACCTCGGAGGTGACTCACCTACAGCACTACTGGTTCTCCCCAGATCATTCCTGTTATACAGGGAGAGAAGTAATTTCTACAGTAGGCAGTGCAGTTTTGGACTGAGGGGAGTGACTCTATGCCCACAGCCCAAAGGCCTCTGGCTCTCACCTTGCTGGGGAGGGAGCACCCTCAAATTTAAGCTGTGAATTTGGGTGGGGAGGAAAAGCCAACCTTTATTTATACTAGCACTGCTGAAGTGATAAATGCCACTGTTAAATACTTCAGAGGCACTTTGTATCAGAAATATCTATGTCTGTTTCACAGAACGGGAAATGTGCATTTTAAAATATGCCACTGTTGTTATTCAGCTCTTCGGAAGGATATTCTGTTTGGTTTGGTGTCATACAGTATTATCGTGGCCAGCTTATTATACGTTTTGGTGACAGATCAAATACTTCAGTGTGTCTTTTGCTCTGCCCACCAGATGTTGTTACGCATCGTAACCAACCCTTCTTGTAGGCTGCTTCCCTGGCTCTTGTATCGTGCTGTAATTGTGTGCAGTGCAGTAGGGAGTGAGCATGCTAAATTTGTCATTTAAACACAGCGAAACTGTCATTCAGACTGCCCTGTATTTGACAAGAAATCCAAACACAACCCACTGTGAAGGACATGAAGTCAAGTGCTCACACATTTCAAGTCGTAGACTGAATACAATAATAAATGAGCACAATTCTTTTAATTTTCACCTACATTTCCATAATAGAAATCTTTGTAAGAGGAGTCAATCACCCCAGTTCTTAATAAAGAATTCTTTTAAAGATTCTATTTCATAGAATACTATTGAAGTATTTTCTTATTCTGTTAAAGATTCTATTTCACGTATTGAAGTATTTTCTTACTTTAAAGAGTATTTATAACATCTCAAATTAAAAACATGCCACTGTGTGTATATATTACACAAAGTGGTGCAGTTTAAAAACAGACACAAGGCTTTAATGATTGACGTTTACTGATGCTTTGGTTATAATAAAGATTATGAGTCTTGCCTGACACCAATAAAAGCTATTAGATGTTTTTATGAGGGTGCAAGCACGTAGTGACTTCAGTGAAATTGTCATGATAAAATCTGAAAGACCTCTTACTTAATTTAACCCACTTTCTCTACACACAAAGACATGGTTAGTACTTGCTACTCCACCCTCTGTCTTCCTCCCATTTTAATTTCAGTTTTACTTTTCACTATGTACACTGGAGAGCTGTTAATCTTTGCTTACCTCTGTATATTTGTAGCACTGCTCAGCAGTGCATTCTGCTTTGCTGGTAGGATTGCTGAGAGCAAAAATAATAGGACGTTTGTTCAAAGCAGCCATATCCTGAAGAATTTGTTTAGTGAAAGCACCACCAATTGCAGCAACTCCTAAAGAAGAAAAACATAAACAGAACAAACAGACAAATTAAATCAGTTCAATCTTTTTTCCTAACATGTGGTTAAAATGAAGTTTTGTATAAAAGATTCCGCAGAAGTGAAACATCAGTATTATCCCTAACATAAGGCAGAACCTATTCACCCCTGTACAGTCTGGTGAATTTCTCACTTCACTTTTCTCAGGCCCTTCATATATATTAGAAATGTATCACCCAACCTGCAGTTAAGTCCAATAAGGAATAGAGAGGTTCAACTCTGGCTCCTAAAGTCTCATGCAACAGACTGGATAGTTTCTCCCAAAATCCAGTCTGTCAGATTTCATTTTTTATTGATGTGATGAGTCAAGTCTCTTCTACAGCTGAACACTCTGTCACTTCCAGCCTCAGCGGATGAATAATCCCAGTTTTGAGACTAAGGCTTTCCTGACAGCAACTATTTTTTTAATACATCCCTTTGCATCCCACCAGACATGCTCCATACAGTCCACACTTAAAAATGCTTTTCACAGGGACTAAATGCCAGTTTTCCAACATGAAAGCATCTAGCTTAGGTTGGATTCTGTTGCATTGCAGACATGTAGCCAGTATCATGTCTTGGACCTCAGAGGCTTCACAACCAAGAAGAGGTGTGTGAAGTTTTTGAGATGCCAAGTATACCTGCATTTCTACTTAATCTACAAGAGCTGGGAATCCAAGGTTCAGGTCCTTTATGTCCACACCTTCCATGGAAAACAAATAAACAGACCTTGGAGTAAAACCAAGAATCTTTATTTTGGGGGAGGCCCCTCTCACCTGGCTTGTAGAGAAGGTAGCCCCTTTCCTAATGCAGTGCCCCTGATGCCTGGTACCCCGCTTGGCTTTCCACACAGCACCCCAGTTTTAAAAGCAGGAAAAAGCTGTTTTCCCCTCTCTTGGGGGAGTGGAAATGGATTCAAACTCAGGCTGGAAGAGAAGAGACTGGAACTCGGGTCTCTCTCTCGTCACTATGCAAACAAACCTCTCATCACTCATGCTCAAATGAGTATCCCAACATTGTCCAGTCTAAAAGGGCAGGTTGGTATCTGCCTAAGGACAGCAGAAGGTACCCAGAGGGTAAAAGGGGTCCTCACCTCACAGAGCTGGCTAGAAGGTCATACATGCTTCAGAACCAACATTTCTCTAAGGTATCTCTGAGTATTTTCTGACTGCTTCTATGTGAAGTAGTGTCTCATCTGTCACATACTATTTTTTGCAAATCTGAGCTCTCTGTCAGATGTCCATTCTGTGAATGGACAAGCATGCTTAGATGCAAAAGGTCTGCTAGACCAGTTGGGCCACTGTATGTTTGATGAACAGTTGTGGCAGTCACCATTTTGACCCACTTGTATAAAAACCTGGTATACACCTTAGTTGCTGGTTAAGTATCTGCAGTTGCTAAATGTTTAATGTCTTCTAAAACTCTTTCTGGACAGTCAATAGTACAAATGACAACTATCTTCAGATATAAAGTTAAACCAAAATGTTCTGAATAATCTCACTGCCTGTTTCTCTTTTGTCTTTCCTTTTAAAATTGAAATTTCTTACATTGGGTCAGGCTAAACTGAGGCTTTTCCTTGAGCCATTGCAGGCAGTGAAATGTATATGAGGATTCTCTGAGGCAGAGTTAAGTAAAACATTGGGAGAAGGACTACTAACATATTTCCCCATGACTCCTGCTGCCCAGGGGAAGATACTGAATGACTAGTCACCCAAACGAAATAAAAACCAGTATTAATTTAAGATGCTGTTTCTGTAATGTAAAATGAAGAGCCTTCATTATATAGTATGGATAGGAGAAAGTTACCTTGAGGGAAGGTGCTTCATAGTTTTATATATAAAAATGATACACAGTAGCATCCCCTTTTCCTGACAACAAACCTTCCCCAAGCATCCACATACCTTTATCTAGATAAATATCACAGATCGATCAACCTATTCTTCTGTTCCACTAGCTTTTTCAGCCTTGTATTCTACCAAATAATTTCGATAGATTACTTGGTCTCTCTCTTGCAGTCATATATCTATACAGCATAGAAAAAATAAGCTTCATTTACCCCACCCATGATCACTGCTGAAAGCAGATTTTACTGAACAAGGACCATGTGGTCTACACATAGTCGAAAAGGTAGCTCTTAAAATGTAGGATAATTTTCACTGTGGCATTTCAGATTTTCCAGCATGCGATGAATGGTTTTACTAACCAGACAGATTCATTTTCAAGTCTTACACAGAGTACTTGCAGTTCATTCCTGAAACTGTCACTGAAATAACAACCAAACTACAGAGAGCCCAGCAATTCTTTACTGACATCACAGTCCTGCAGCTTTTACAAAAGAAAAAGTATTTGTAAAATCTGTGGTTTGGTCTGCATAAAGCACTGGTAGCTCAGGACCTAAATATGAGAGGGAATAATTCAGATACAGCATGCTCATATTTGCACAGCCTTATATGTGCTTAGCACAGTTTTCTCAGTCTAAGTTTGAGGTTATTTGTATTACACTATACACAGAAGTAATTTAGGAAGGTGATAAGGTTCTTCATCAGATGTTTAAACCAACGTGGATTATTCTCCCTGTAAAATGGATGGCTTGGAGTGAAAGCAGTGTTACATGCTTGGATAGTTACTATTTGTTCAGTTGCTTAATAGAGACCATTATGCACTTAGTGTTTTCTAAAACCACACAAAGGTAAACTCTGTTCAGAGGAACTTGATCTTGTCTTCAGACAAAGCCACATCTCCATTTTTTTCCAACAAAGAATAAGGTCATTGCTTTAAAGTAAAAGGAATTACCTATTAGCACAGATGGTTTTAGATCTCTAACGATATCTTCTAGATTTTTCATTTCAGCATGTTCATGGGCAAAATGCTGTTTCTCAGATGTTAGTGAGGCACGACCCTGAGCAAGGGAAAAAATATTTATTATAAGCTTAATGGAACTCAATATCCTGGGATAAACAGTTCACGAAGTATCTGGTTTAACATGTCCTATTTTCATTTCTACTTTTGCATCTATCACTAAGTACCATATTGGACAAAGTTACACTGTGTACAGCTAACACGTTCAGGATAATTTAGGACTAATCTATTTCTCTAACCAGTAGGTAAACTAAATTCAATATTTTTACTTCAAATGAGCAACAGCTGTAGAACACCACTGTGTTAACAGTTATGGGAAAGCATAATTAATTTCTTCTTTCAAGCATTCTTAATGCTATTTTACGTGATAACATTTGGCCAAATGCTTAAAGTTACCAATGATAAAGTATAAATATATTTATATAGCAAATGGATGCGCCAGAGCAAGGGGGATTTGTAACTCAGCAAAACAAAGTTTCTCCTATTTTTTCCAGCTTTTCTCTTGTCTGAAAGAATAAAGACTGTATGGGGGGGGAGTATATAGACTATAGGTGAGCCTGTATTTTGCTCCACATTTTTCATTTTTAACTTCTTCATTCTTAGGTATGGAATAAAAATAACTCTAACCAGATGTCTGCTGCACCGTTTTTGGATTAACAAAATTGACACAGCTGTGAAAAAACTTCTGTGCTGATCTACACTGGCAATTTCCACCCAAGATGCCCGACAACGTTTCCAAGTGGAATATGACAGATGCCGGAAAAAGGGCTAAAGAATATCGTTGACATTGACTGGGCAGCAAATGGTGTAAATAATGTGGAGTGCAGGGCAAGAAAGGACCAGAATTTGTGAAAACTGTATTAGTTGTCTAACTACATGGACCTCTCTCTGTACACGGGCATCTTAAAACTTCAGCTGAAGAGTTTAAAACGCATATACCTCCACCCTTCATTTTATTCTCATGCCTGCAAAAAACATCACTGCAAAGGCACTCTTCAGACAGTGCCAGCCCGGCAAACATCCTACAGTGTCAGACAGCAAAAAGCAGATTATACAGATATATAGGGGAGTGCACATGGAAAATGGAACACTAAATATAATTCTGAGCGAATAGCCAGAACAGACATGTATCATTTCCCCAGCCACATCTTTTCCAACCGATAAGATGAAAGTTTCCTTAAACTCAGCAAGTTAATTAAGACTACACTGAAGTATTGGAACAGAATTAATTCTATAATTCCACCAAAGTCTATGAATTTGACAATTTTAGCTCAGTTTAGGGCTGTGGATACTATCGGATTCAAGTTGGGATTAGTTTCTTAATAGCACTTTTGGTTAATTTTAACAAAAACAGCTCTTCTGCTGGTCTTTTGGACAGCCACCGCAAAAGCTGGGAGACAGCAGGGAAGGACATTTTTCATTTCCAGCTGCAAGGAAAGCATTTCTATCCCAAAGGTACCACAGGAAGCCGTGGAAGGCTGCTATGTGGTTGGGGCTGACTGAGCTGGTTTGCCCCACAGGATGCCCACTTATCCTGGCTCACCTGTGATTACAAGGAATTTCCAGAGATTTCTCCTGTTCTACAGATTTTCGTATGTGACCAAATTACAGAGTTTTTAGATTAACAGGGTTATGCCTGGATGGGCTTATGCAGGTCTTAAGTGTTCTCCTAGAGCAAATAGCACAAAAATACTGTGATATGGGAACTTGGTTTCCTTTGTGGGTAAAATGTGAATTTCTGAGCCTCGAGAGAATGCCACAGTATTACGAATTTTTGGCATATTCACGCTCGAATCATTCCACCAAGACCCATTTTGAAGTCTGCCGTTTCCCAGCATCCCAGCAGATGTCCCCACAGTCTACACACATGGTTTAAGCTGCATCTCAGTTAACGCAGGACTTCTCCTTAACATTTTCAAGGGAAAAATATGAAGTTCTCTTTCTAGTCACCAAAGGAAGAAAAAACGCATTTATGACTTCCAGGCCAAAAGCTTGTTGCTAGGAATAATTGAAAATGATATAATAAAACCCACTTTTCATTCTAATTGGCTGGTTGGTTGAAATCAAAATGCTCAATGGAGCCCGACTTGGAGGCTGCTGGGGAGCCAGAGATGGGTGCTGTGGGCCACCACCCGATTCCACACTGCTTCTTTGGTTGGTTCCTTAACAGCTTATCAGGCTGCTATTGAGGAAGCCAGTTTTTGGTCTGGCCTTAAAACCTCATCGCCCCCCAGGAGACTGCCCTGGGCTACCAAGTGAAAAAGGTATCACCTCTAAGAGCTGTGACCAGCTCATTCTTCAGGCTGTGGCAGGCTGGTAGCTCCTGAGTGCCTCCAGGATCTGCAGATCTGGGCAGATCTCTCAGGAAGGACTCAAATGTTTTTACCCTGGGCATTAACAGCTGAGAGGCCAGGCTGACCTCTCAGTGGAGAAAAATCTCTTTTTCATTTTTAATGAAAACAAAGTATCACAGTCCTGCTTGAAACAGTTACTTCCTTACACAGCTTTACACTTGATTGGCTTTTGAGGAGGTACTTCAACATTTTTAAATTAAGATAATGGCAGAGCTGTTAAAACCATTACTGATGCAACACCAAGGATTCAAAGCCCCATTTTCTACTGACACTGATGATCATCTCTCATTTATTTAGCTGCAAAGGAGCACTCAAACAGTAAGATGGATGTGATCCACTTCAAGCCTTTCTGGGCCACTGGCTAGTGAGACTAGCGCTAGGTAGATGGGGTCAGCTTAGGTCAGATTCATTTCTGCCCTATCTTCATTTCTATCTGCCCTTAATTTTACACAAGGCATCCTACCATTCTTAACAAACAAACAAACAAAAAATCCCCAATCCAAACCCCAAACAACTTTAAATTTATTTCTTTATTTAGCTTTGCTCTGAATTAGCTTGATCCTATTAGTCAGAATGAATCATGTCTCCAAGTCAGTATTTTTCTCGTATACTAACTAATAATGAAATATGAAATTCTGTGGCTTAGCAAAAATAATAACAACTATGTAAATAGAGATTTTTGCTTGGTAAATGCTTATAAAAGAAATTTCACAGTTAGCGTTTGGTTTTTTTTTTTAACATATATTTTTAAGTAGATGGTCAGAAATGTATTTTGAAATTAATTCAGTGATCCTAAAGGAGCTACGTAACACTTCCCTAAAAAACATGTGCAAGATTTCAAGACAAACCAGTTGATTTGGCTACAAAATGCCAACGATTTAGAGAACTGTGCTTTAGATAGTGGGGTTATTTTGCCTCCAGATTGGCAAGTTCTTAAGTTCTGCTCTCCACAAAGTAGAGAGGCAGCAGCAAGAGCCCAGCTAGCTTTCCACCGTGCCCTGCCAACAGGGCAAAGCAATGACTTTCCGGAAAGAAACAATTGAGTTTTGTGCATGCTTAACCTCAAACTAAGGGGTTGCCTGTGCATTTAGTACCAGCTTCCAGACATCCACCCCTGAATGCCTATAGCTGGAATAAGAAAGCAGGGAGTTTTTGTCAGCCAGCAGAGAAAAAAGGATGGCGCCGAAATGCAGAAGTCTCAGCTCTGGATTTGTGTATTTTCCCTCTTGTCTCTCTCCTGACGCTAGAGACATGCAAAGTGGATGGATCTGCCAGTGCAGAGCTGTTCTGATTAAAAGATACTCCAGAAGCGCAGAACCCATCTTCTGACATTTCCATTTCCAGCCCCCAATTAGGTAGCTTTTGTACTCTGGCTATCTGCTGCTAGGAATGAGCTGTAGAGGATCAACACAAGGCAGCATAAATCAGAAACTACTCTGGTCTGCTTGTGTCTCTGTAATCCTAAGACACTAACACAGCTCACAGCTCACTGATACTTCCCTTCTTCTAAGAGGAAAAAGAAAAAATTAAAGTAAACCATACTAAGAAAGCATTTATAAAAGCTCTGGGGTTCTGTGGCTTTCTGTCTCTGAAGCTCTTTTAAGTAGAAACATAATCTTCAGTCATATTCATATTTGTCTTCTAAGTCCACCGTCTTGCTCTTTTAGCATTATTAAAAATTCATTCATTCAATGAAAAGGGCTCAGAAAAATCATCACTCTCAAGATGTGCCCTTTAAGTACGCTAAATCTCAATACATCTCACCATTTCACTGAAGGACTTCAGTGCTTACCATGCAGGGGAGGAATTTTCCCAGGGGATCCTATCAAAGGATGCAATTCACGGTTGTTCAAACAGCAGAATGAAGACTCATCTAGGCCGGATAGCAGCTGTCTTAAATTGCTATATGTTTTCTATTACGTAGAACAAGCACCTTTCCTGCACCTTTCCCAAATCCCAAAAGAAACACTTTTACACTGAAACCCACAGATGAACTAAGAGACTTGACCAGATACCTGTGCAGCTATTCAGAGGGGAAGATACAAATTCTTTCATTAGGAGGAGGAAGGTAAAGTTAGAAAAAGGAGCTATATATCCTTCTTGCTTTAGCTTCCCACAGATGTTTAACATCCCAAGAAAGAAGTAAAAAAAGCACCAACATTTCATTACACAACTTTTTGCAATGCTATGTATTCTTACATTACCTCCTAATCTTCTATGGAATAAGTTATTTGCTAGGGGCATTACAATAAATTTGCTTGAAAAAGAAAAAAACCCAACAAACTACATACTAAAGTATCAGGAAGACAACCACGGTATCTTCAATGCATATTCAGGGTGCCTGAATAAACTATTCAATACACCTTCACTAGACTGCTGTGGGTGAAGAATATTAAAAACACAGAATAATAAACCTTATGTCCAAAGACTCACTGAAGATGCGAGAAATTACTTCAGAGGGCAAAAGTACTGCCTCTATCACAGTATTAATTTTTACCAAGAAACCTATAGGATACTTTGGATTTGAACAAAAGAGAACAAAGCAACCTGAAAACAGGTATGTTGCCCTATTAGAAGTCACCATGGTATCTCCAATGGAAAGTAATGTGAGCTGAATTTTTTATTAGCAAACGAGCTACAATGTGGACTGTGTTAAGTCAGCAGATGAAGTACAGAGATAAAGAAA